GAGTAATCCCGCTCGTCACCGATCTCCACTCTCCACTGAAAGCAGATGTAGAGATTTATTCTGAAGAGGCATCTTCTGCAGGCTGTACGCAGCGTAGTTTCACTCATGGTATCGCTCTCTGCTTCAGCCATAGCTGATTGTGACTGACCAGCCTTTGAATGTTTCAGGCTCTAGATGTTTATTAACTGCATTCAGTAGGACCCCTATAGCGCTGTTCCCCGCGTTTCATACACTTCTCAGTCCTGATACATCAGTAGCGGTGGTCTTGGATAAGATCTGACTGTCTTAGGGGAGGCGTTTGCAGGATAGCAGGGCAGTCAGTACAGATTTGTTCAGCCCAGCAGCAGGGATAGTGTTCTGTGATAGACAGGAGGCAGGCTTGCCCTGTCAGCCTGAGGTTCGATTTACTAGTTGGGAATATTTAAGGTAAGGCAGTAGATTTCCTGAAAAGCTGTAGTGAAGTATTACTAGTCCCCAGTGAATTAGTTGTTATGAAAAAGGTATTAGGTGACAGGATTTTCTTTAATGATTAAGACATATTTTTCTTATAAATCAGATTCTTGCCTGTTTAATTGTGGGTTTGGAGCAGTGCTAGGCTGTCACGTTTGCATCTCTCTGACCTGTCTTGACTTGGGGTTGTACTGGAACCCGTTAGTGCCTGAGAAATAAAGACTCTGCAGTCAGTTTCCAGCTCTTGATGGTGCTTATGGTTGGGCTACCTTACCCTTGGTCTTTGAAGTCCGCCGGATACATCAACAGATTTTACATTTTCCGTGTAAAGTGGGAGATTATGAATTCTGGTCTTCCGTTTTCTTTTTACTTCTTCAAAGTCAATTCTGGCTTGCTAATGTGAAAGGAATTTTGAAAACCACCCTTGGTTTCAGATCAATGTGTTTGTTAGTCATTAGTATTTTTTTTTCCTTTGTTTGAGTGGGATCATAAGAGAAGGGTTTGAAAGATTTGCCAAGCAATAACCTGGGAAGGGAAAGTTGGAAGAATCATCAGCTGCTCTGGTTTGACTGCAGTCTTGGTTTATTGTACCATTAATAGTGTCAGCTGGTGTACTGCTTGGATCAGGTGAATGAGAGATGCAGCATGAATTACAGTGAGTATTACTGTTATAGTAAGTATTATTTCTCAAATAATTTAGTAGCCAATTACACTGAACTGGTTTTGCACTGACAGTGTTCTGGAATTGCAACCTTAACTACGGTTTCACTGTACCAGATTATTACAGATCCCATATTGCCAGGATACAGACTTATAAATCCAGTAACACGATCAAGCTCAAACTTGGAAACAAAATCTTATTCTGCTGCTTTGAAATTTCCCATGTGATTGCTATTTGGTCCGAGTCTGTCCTAAATTACTTTCTAGCGTATATGTTCATACAGAGCTGCTGGATGTTACTGAAAAGTAGTTGTTTCAGTATTACGTGATTAGTGCATATGTATACAGATTTTTTTAATTTAAAGTTTTGGGATTTTGTTTCTCGTCAAAGACTTTTATAAGCCAGGGACTGAAAGTACTCAGATTCTTCATGTGGGTGTAATGGGACCCAATTCTAACCTTGCTTGTCACCCCGACAGATGTGTTTTACACAAATACACGAAAGCTTGTGTATTTGGCGACGGGCATGCTGCCTGTCAACCTTACGTTTTACTGCCTGGCCAAGCATCCCAAACGCTCTGCTGGCATAACATGGGCAGATCTGAAGCTCTGTGAAAACTGCAGTGTTTTCTTCTGCTTCTGGAATTTCTGCTGTTTCTAAGATCGGTACCTTAATCTGCCGTGGGCTTTTTTAACCCGATTTTCTTCATTTCTGTGCTTGTCTGGGTGCTGGCTGGGAAATTTGTGTTCATTTTACTTTGGATTTCTGTTGTTAGCGCAACTGCTGTTTCATCACGGTTTAACCTGCGGATGGTAAGCCGCAGGAATTGGTTCTCTGCGCTGTGAAAATCAGTGTAGGCACACTTACAAAATTAAGCATTCAACTGATAACGTGGTTGGTTTGTTTTCTCCCAGGTTGAATACTGCTTGCGGTGAGGGCTGTCCCTGTAAGCGTACCATGCAGACGTAGTGGTGTTTCAGTTACATGGATACCTCAGTGGTCTGGCCACCACCCCCTCCGAACTAAAACATATTGTTGCTTTTCCCATGTAGAATTCAGGAAGGAATAGTGCTACTTTTTTTTTTTTTTAAAACCACCACCCCCTCCAAACAAAAACATGTTGTTGCTTTTTCCATGTATAATTCAGGAAGGAATAGTGCTACCTTTTATTTTTATTTTTATTTTTTTTTAAATGTTTGCAATTCGGTCAATTCGGCCCAAAAGAGCTATATTCAAAAGCACGAGGCCTTGAGGAGGGTGGATAATGGAAAGCGTTTTGCAGCTCTGATCGTCTCGTTAGCTGTGTAGCGAGCAGTCATCGCTCTCGTGTGTGATAGTGCGGCAGATGAGTAGTAGATAAGTTAGTAGCTGTTGGGCTTTTCCTTTCCTCCACAGGCAGAAAAATGTTTCCACTCACTACAGATACCCTAGTGCTGCAATTCTGCTTTTCAGTCTCGGCGTGCACGCGAGCGGTAATCTTGGCTGTGCAATTATGAGGGGTTGTCTGAGCCCAGGGTTGCCGAGCCGCTGCTCGTGGTAGCGACGAGATGGATTTCGTTGGGGTGTTATGTAGGTCTTGGAGCTGTAGAGGTGTGATGAGCACGTGCATGAACACGGAAGGTTTGGCGTATAGAAACGTGTTGGAGTGTTGACTTCTAAGTGCCAAAGATCAATTTTGAAAGCATGGGATGCAGAGCTTGCAGCCCTGCAAGGCGTGACTCTTCCCTCGAAGCGAAGAATGAGCGCGGAGTAGCGCGGGTTGTGGCCGTGGAAACTTTAGCTACCTCAGTTCGGACTGGTAGGGATTGCTCCGAGTACAGCCGTGCAGCCAGTTCTGAGTAAGATTTTTCTGCTGCCTTGACTGCTGCAAAAGATAAGCAAACAAGTTTGTGTGCTAAGCGTGTAAGTTCAAACGAGTTCATGCCGCTAAATATTTTCTTCATATAAAGTAATTGTTAGGCAGAAAACCCTGAGTTTTTTCTTAACGAGAGCTGGCAGTGTTGGACAGGTGCATTTTCATTTTTATGAGGGGGAATAGATAGTATCTGTGAGAGGAAAGATCCGGAGTCTGTTTTCCACCCTGTGGCAAACTTGTGTGACTCTGGACAAGCAAATTTTTCTTGTGTCTCAGATTTGAGGAACATACTTGCTTGTTACATTGTGAATTAAGCAAGATTTAATACAATAAACTTGTATTTAGGAAAAATGGGTTATGGTAGGCAAAGCTTTAACTATTATGAGCTTAATATAGTCTGTTCCACCTCGACATGGTAGATGTAATTATCTATATATAGAATTATGCATGATCTTGGTGTTTTAAAATGAGATATGTAATCCTAGCTCTAAGGAATAGGATTCATTATAATGTCACCTGATGCAAAAGGGGGACTAGGCCTTGGAGAGAAATGAATTTCCCCCCATATTAAGATAGTCACAGTCCTGGGTTTTCGAGATGATCTAATTAAATTGTGGTTTGTATATGGCATGAGGGTGTATTCCCTTTTAGCAATGATTTTTCTCTGACCTGACACCTATAACCGACTGGATTATAGGTAATCTTGGTGAAGGGTCCCAAGGTTATACCGCTTACGTAGGAAAGGAGTGAGTGTGATACAGCTGCTGAAAAGGCTCCGCTTCCTCGGAGTCGTTCTTTACCTGGGGGGAACAGTTGGGGTGCTCTGGGCAAGGCTGTCCTAGCAGTGTTGCCATCATCACCGTCCCAGCTACTCTCAGCAAGGATGGGCCTCCCAGAGACGGTCCTAGGCCTTTCTGGATGACCCTGGCTGTGAATAAGGTACATGAAGTAGGATGATCTTCACACAGGTATTTGTGGTAGGGGGAGAAGCAGAGGAGGAATGCAAATGGATGTTTACGTTCTCATGGTTTTGTTTCTATCTCAGGAGGTTCCATCTGCTCCTTTCTCCTCACAGATACTCCTGCTTTCAGCAGCATGGCCTCTGACCTGGAAAGCAGCCTCACTTCCATAGACTGGCTCCCACAGCTTACTTTAAGGGCTACTATTGAAAAATTAGGGGGTTCCTCCCAAACGGGACCTCCGGGGGCTGCCCGGAAGTGTCCCCCAGGCTCACCGACAGATCCCAATGCCACCCTGAGTAAGGATGAGGCTGCAGTGCACCAAGATGGGAAGCCTCGTTACAGCTATGCCACTTTGATTACATATGCCATCAACTCATCACCTGCCAAGAAGATGACACTTAGTGAGATCTACCGTTGGATCTGTGACAACTTAAAAAAAAAAAATGCTGGTATTGGTTGGAAGGTGAGGACTTGCATTGCTAAAAATACCCTTTTTTGTCTAATTACAATTTTATTTTTCTTAATTCTCTGCGAAATATCCTTACTGAGAAAAATAAAAAGGTCGATGTGAAACTAAGTTGACTAACTGGAGAAAATGCAGAACCAGATGTCCCGTTTTCCCTGAGAGCTTTGTTGTATGTATGTGGTGGCCCCTTAAGAGGGAGTGTGCAAAAAGACCCACCACCACCAACCAAGAAAAACAAAACAAACACCACCCTCTCCCTGCTCCCGCCCCCACCCCCCCAATCCACCTCACTGCCAACCTCTGCATTACACTGATGCTATTTTCACTGCACCTTCTGTAGATGTATAGGTGGTTCAGCCCTATGTTATTCATCCTAATCCATCCCTCTCCTCTCCACAGCTTCTGTTCTGCTCCGTTCTGGGCATATATAGTGAGTTTTGGCTTTTGAGTATGCAACATCCCTCTATTTTCTCTACCCACTCCCGGGCATACTCCGAAGGCTGTATGTTTTTGTTGTAGCACTTACCTGTATCCCTCACTCTCTCACCAGAACTCTATTCGTCATAACCTCTCTCTGAATAAATGTTTTCGGAAGGTGCCTCGACCGAGAGATGATCCTGGGAAGGTAAGAAATCCGCATGCTTCTGGGCAAGCAATTTAAAACTGCAGGGAATAAGCTGGGGTTGCCCTTTCTAACTCATGGTTGGAATTTGAAACCTAAAGTGTAGGCAAAAATGGAAGCAGTAGTAAGATTTACTGCAGTGCTTTGGCTACAGAAGCATTCACTTAAAGGGAACCTGTAAGGGGGCCTTAATGGTTTTAGCAATTATTTTTCTTATCTGCGATCTTTGGTTGACTTGAAAGATACTGGAAGAAGGAAAAAATGGGGTTGAATGTACTTTATTAGTTTTGTTTCTTTTTCTTTTTGACCTTTATGTGTAAAATGTGGCTATTTCTATTATGGAAAACCGTAGTGGCTGCTGGTGGATGGCAGGATTATGATGTGATGTCATGGGTTTCATGGAGGCAAGATCCGTGGAAGTGAGAGCGGTACCACTACCTGTTTAGACTGCGGAACATTTGGTGTTGGGAAAAAATGTCACCTTCAGTTTAAATCTGTAGAAATCAATTTACAAGTAAAACTCAGGAATTTAGGAATTTGATGGCTAAGTAAGGGCTAATAAAACTCTCGGTATATATAGATTGTAAAGAGGAATTGCTAGCAAAACCAAGACCTGGCATCTTGGCATGCAGATATTATTACTGTTAAAAAACCCCAAAAAGACAAGCAGAAGAAGATGCTGGGGACAAGAAGCTGTGCATTTAGACAGAAAGATTGTCTCCTTCCCCCCATCCTAAAGTTACCAGAAAGGGCCACTTGTCAGGCCTTTTATTTCAGGTTATATTTAAAGGACTAAGTGGTGCTCAGTTGATGTCTATAAATGGAAGTAGTAGATCTCTGAAGATCACTGCTCAAAAATACCATTGATTATATGGCTTATTCCAGGAAATCCTAACCGACTTCAGTGCGTGTGTTTTCAAGTGTGCATTGGCACGTTGGGCTGGGTTTGTAAGGAAAACCTGTCCCTGTGCTTGTCACTGATTGTTCAGATTTCAGTTGGAGGTAAAAATGGGGTCAATGACACACTAACAATCTCTTTATACTCAGAAAACAACAGACATAATTATAGGCTATTTTATTTTGAAGGGGGCCTCTGCAGGGCAACAGGCACCCCTACCCCCACCCACCTCCCCCTGCAGGGACTGTTAGATTGGGTTGTTGAGGTCTTTGTTGAGTTTTGAATGTCTCCAAGGACGGAGATGCCACAACCGGGCATTTGTTCCAGTGCTGCACCACCAACACTGTGAACAATTTTTCTGTATATCCGATGGTAGTTTTCCTTGCTGTAACTTGTGTTTGTCGCCTCTTATTCTTGTGCTGTGCATTTTTGAGAAGAGGTTGATTCTGTCTTCTCTCTAACCTCCTGATGCAGTTGAAGACAGTGGTTAGACCCCCTTAGCCCTCTCTCGTCCAGGTGAAACAGATCTCTGCGTGAGCTGCTTGTACGTCACGTCTGTTAGTTCTTAGCCACCCCGGTGGGCTCTCGTTGGATGCCTTCTGGCATGTTCCTGTCTCTCTTGCACTGGGCACAGCACTCAGTGTGGAGTCTCACAGGCATGGAAAAAGAGCAGTTCTAGCTGTCTCTGCCCAGTCTGACCATGGAGTTGGTTCTCGTCAGTCAATACCAAATTCATGTTGTGAGGAAGGTACTGAAGGGGGATGTGCAGGCCCAACACGTTCACCCAGCTTGGATCAAAACATCCTTTGCTTTTCTTGGTGTCCTGTCTCAGAGCGATGGAAAAGGACTTGGGGGTACTGGT